TGGAGGGGGTTTCTTCGTAGGTTGAATGAGTTTGTGTGAGAGGTATGAGGTAGGGTAGGATGGGTAAATGACCGACTCATTTAAGGAAGACTACTCGGTCTTGTCTAACCCGTTAAAAGGCAGTATTTACGTGGTGGGAAAGGCTGACTCTTCACTCGGTATAGAGAGGTTTGTGTTCCACAGAAGAAGAGAGGATGAGACTTCTTCACATGAGGAGTCAGCTCGACGTACTCAGAAAAAGGGTGGACAAGTGCTAATACTGTCAAACCCAGTAAGTCACTATTTATTATAACTAAACGTCTCTAAAATGCTGCCACTACAAGATCTGCATATTTGTATGTAACTCAAAACTGCTCTGACTCCAGTAAGAAGTGTGACACTACGGTTAAGGAAAAAGTGACGTTCTCTCCTACCTACCCCAAAAACCTTAGGTACATCATTGCTTGTGTTTACGATTGAAAGTTTTTCAGTAAAAAAAATACCATTCCGATAGTTTTAGTAGAAATAAAGCAAAAAAATACTTAGTTGGTCCTAATACCAGTCCTATACACAAAAAAAATGAAGAATTAATTTTACGTCGACTAAAAATAAACTTTATGACAAACCCATTCTCACAGTCTCGCACGATCTAAACCAACCTCTGTTGTCATACTTGAGGCCTTTACATAAAAGTCTAGGGTAAGGAAAGGTCCCTCCCCCCCCCCCGTAAACGTTGTTTCGGTGTAGATTGTGATTTTTTCCGTAAGCTAAGTACAATATTTCCGCTTACGTCAAGAAGATGAGTAACTTTTTGTTTACTTTTATATATAACGGTCACCACAGATTGGAAATGGACATTTACTTTTGGGTAAGCGGAAGGAGAAATAAACATAAAAATCAAAGTTTACAGAAGGTTTTACAAACGGATCTGAAAATCGGATTGCACGCTGTCTTCTCGTACGTCAATGCAATCCGCTCGGTATGTCCCTGACCAGAGTCTTTTAATCTTTATACACTACTTTCAAGAAATAAAATGGACATTTACGGTTATTTTTTTGTTTTACAGTATGTAAGACCTCCCAAGTACCATGGTTTAGTTGACTTTATAACGTTCGGGAAAATAATAAAATTATAACGCCCCTAATAATACCGTATGTCGAATTCTTTTGAGTTTATAGGATAGAGATTTATAATCTTATAGTTACTTTTTCATATGATCATCCCACAAGTTGCTTAGGTGAACTTAGCAGATTTAATTTGAGGCTTTGTGGACGTCTCCCAAAGACTCGGAACCTTTTGTGAGTCGAACCCAAGTCATTTGATTTAGTCGTTCATAACCCTTCTGACGACTAGACTGACGGACAGGTCTCTTGGCAGTAACTGTGGGAGGTAGTCCTCCCATTCTGTGTTTTTCTTAAAGAGTTTCTCCGTTCGACAAGGTTCCACGTCAAGTTTCGTGTAGGTGTTTTTCAGACAACCCTTCCCCCTTTACACCGTCCTTGTGCGACGTTGTTGGTCCCCTCTACCTGGCCGTCGGAATTGTCGTAACACTTCTTCTCCAGCGAAAGGTCCTAAACCCCCTCGAAGTTTCGTCACCTGATTTCTTCCGGACCTCAGGTCCATAGTTTTCAGTGACCAAGTTCTGCACAGGGCCCCTTTACCCGAATGTTACTCGGCATAATGGGTACCAGTTCGGTGAAAGACTTGAGTTCTGTTGCCTTCTCTCCGGCAGACCTGAACCCCGATTCCCTTTTCTTCGTGACCTGTCAACGGTGTCACAAGGTTCAAGAAAGTCTGCTTTCGTTCAAAACCATAAGTAAACCTTCAGTTCGCGGGTCTCAAGACCTCTTTCCACCTCTCCCCGGTTAGGTTCAACCGAACTAGGTCACACTGCAAGGTTGTCAGTCGCTACCACCCCCTCGGTACCATCGACGACCACAACCCAGTGACACAAAAGTAGTTCGGGGCTCATTTACGTCGTCGGAACACCATGGTTCTCTAAAATCTCGGTGGGATGTACGAAGTGGGCAGACCGACTTTTTCGAGATTACCTCCTACTCCTAAGTAAAAGGTCGTACTAGACCGTGGACGGTGTCACCCGGTTTTGGTGGTCATTGACCACATGACTGTACCCGTAATGACGCCAGGAGCTAACCCCACGTTAATGGGACTGGACTGGGGGTATTCTCTATACACCCCATAACCACTCTTCTCGACTTCTGAGTGGTCTGGGTTGTTACGATTACCGGATTTCCGCGATAACTCGGTAGCCTTCGTAGGACCCGTAGGTATGGTGTGATCGTTACGGTGTCCGACTAACGGGAGGGTACGGTGCGGCGTAACTACGTTCATTAGGCACGTTTCCTGAAAGGGTTGGTTCATGACTCACGTAATTACCGGTTAAAAGTTTACAAACTAACACAAAACGGACCAATATTAGGAAAAAAAAAATGAACCAAGACTCTTATAAGATAAAAAAAACTCTATCCTAAAACTCAAAAGAATTCGACATACGGGTATAGTCGTATAATTTTATTTACTTCCGAACGTTATAAGTCAAACTAACATAGCTTAGGTCTCAACCATATACTGTAAAAGACAAAAAAATGACGAATGTCTTTTATTTCTTGAATAGTTTATAGATTAAAAGACTCTGTCAGGACATTACATGAAAATGAACTACTCAGTGGACCTGATACTCTCCACTCCTGGTACTTCCACAAATGTATTTTGTAATATAACCACTGTATGTCGGTTATCATTTGTCCGTCCAACAAATAACGGACGAGGTAATGTCAAAGAACCCAAAATTAGTCTTTGTATAAAATATATGTACATTGATTCCGCTTCTTTTTAACAACTATAAATAAACAAAAAAATGTCGATAAATAAGTTAGCATCATACTGTCCGACTCCGAGGAGGGAAGAACATACCCGTGACATTACACACACCACACACACCAACACATGTACCTACCTACCCGGAGGCCAGAAGGATACTGACTACGAGTCACTTCCCGAGAGGCAGGAGGCGGACCAGTCGGAGTAAGGCTAGTTACATCCTCCCTTTTATAGAGTCGTAAAATCTTTGAAATTACTAGTTCTTATAAATGTCAAACTCATCCTCCATTAATGGAATCTACTTTACTAACTGACATGACAAATAGCAGAGAACATTCGCGTTTTTATGACAAATTCGGTACAAACTAATAAAGATTAACATTGTAATAAACAAATTGTGGTGGTTGACAACAGTGAGGGACCTTTAAAACAGTGTACTCAAACCAAATTTCCCCTGGATAGTACGTTTTACGTCGAAAACAATGCAGAAAATAATTACTTATACACAGGACGCACAAGCGTCCCTTTCGAGTGTGGTTTCACAGTCTTTTGGTTGGGAGAAGATAAAAGGAGGTATCTGGGTTTAGAGATTTTTCCCCGCAACGTTGCAGACTATTTTTGACTAGCGTCTAAAACTCGTAACAGCACCAGTCCTGCCACCGCGATGCCGATAACCCGTTGAAAGATATAAGTCCCCTTACACCCCAACCGTGCCGGCCGGTAACGTCGACGCTTCGCGACCCTCTGCGACATCAGTGTATAGGTCCCGGACATTTCACTACGACGTTTCGTCGCTTCTTCTAAAGGGCGCGTACCAAACGGTTCCAAGGGAAAGACAAAATAAGAGGCGACACCGAGAAAAAAGAGGGAGGGACTCCGTTCGCAAACGAGGGGCCGACGACATTAAGTTACGTTAAGGAGCGTTGCAGCTCCGTTCGTGACATTAAGAGAGGCATCAGGTAGTCCGTCTACTGTTTTGTGGGTGGAGAGGCGGAGAAGGTCGTTGACTCCCCTGGCACGTCGTCTCAAAGCCAAAGAAAGCAGCCAGTTCTACAGGCAATTTCAAATTTAGAAGGCCTGTTAATCTTTTACACGACCCAGTTTCCAAAGAAACAATAAATAACTCGAAATTTGTTTACTTATTGCTGAAGATATATTATCTATATTTTTTTGCCTTC